GTATAGTTAGTAACAAGTCAGCCATAACACCATAACACTCCTGCTCATCACCTTTCACTTCTCACGTATAGTTAGTAACAAGTCAGCCATAACACCATAACACTCCTGCTCATCACCTTTCACTTCTCACGTATAGTTAGTAACAAGTCAGCCATGACACCATAACACTCCTGCTCATCAACTTATCAATGATAATTTCTATGATGATTTTCTCTGCTAAATCAAATGAAATAGGATTGTGTACTGATGATCTAGACGGTCCGAACATCCCTTTACACTTATCATTGTAAGTATGATTAACAAGTTTTACAACTCACACTTGTGTAATATTGTAAATGTTACATCACACACACACTCATTGGATTGTCATGGTATACAAACAAGAAGCCGATGGCGTAATGGTCGAACCTTGAACTGAGATGTTGGACTATACAGTGGTGTAGTGATGACAGTTATGTAGCCGTGTTTACCCATTGTGGATTGTGACGGATCCCAGTTGATTATATATGTATGATATGATGACCAGTTAGTACAAAATACAATCCTGGTTGTAATGTTATTATCATCCTAACTCCATCGATCCAAATATTTACACCGCTACCATGCTCCTTGGAAATTCAATTTCTCCAAAGCTAGTAAAAAGTTACAAAAGAAATACTGCATGTTGATTTATTCCTTTTTGTTGTATTTCTTCTTATTGTTGTTAACGATTATAAAATACAGTTAGAGTTGTTACAAGCTGTATCCTTGAATGCACTAAAGTCCTTCCACCATTCTACAAAATTCAATCGTTTCTATTATCCAGTATTGATTTAAAATCCAATTATGCACAATTTCAAAGAGTCTCCTTGAATCCTTTTCAGTTTATAATACGGTGAAGGTACATAGCCAGAGTGACAGGAATCGTAGGTAAGTCTAGAGCTACAGAGTGTAAAGTGTTTATAAGGCCACAGGAATATGTGGGTAGAATTGTATGAAGTCTCCAATAAATTGTCAGAACAGTTGTCTATAAATTGTCTTCTTGGATTATTTTTGTCACAATCTTTCGACAGGATGAAAGATTACAATCTTCTGAAATGTTACACCAAATGTTGTCGCTAAATCTACGATTCCCTCGGTTAGACACATATTTCTAATTTGATATTTTGACATCTTTTTGTCCAATGAAAGCCCCAGCTTGGTGTTACACCAAATTGGCAATGTAAATACATTGATATTTTTAAACTATTTCAAACTGTTGATCATGCAAAGTTATTTAAGAGCTGACCTCAGTGACCTCAATGTTAGTGCCAATTTGGTTTATAAAGGATCTAGACCAAAGAGATAACTTTAGCGGTCTAATTCTTTTGTTTTACGACAAAGATAGTAGCTTTGGCACACTGATCTACAGAACACTATGCCAGAATAATGTGTCCATTGTTCTACTTACAGTGCTTTCCAACATAGACAAATGAGGATTCCTTGAGGAGACCTATCTTAAACATTACAATAAATGCCATATCATTTAAGAACATATTGTCAAAAACGAAGTTACTCTTCCAAAGTTGTTATTGTTTTAAAACAAGGATAATTGCATTAGCTAATAAATGAAGTATCAACTTGTAGCCATATTATGACTACAAAATAACGAAATGAACTGTTCAAGTTCTGAAGCACTGCCGCAATATGACAACTATGAAACTGTTGTAAAGGAAACTCCCAAAAATAAATAAAACTTTTTCTTATATTCATAAAGCTAACACCTACCCTGTGGTGCTTGAGCTGTTCCCTCAGCTTGTCATAGTGACCGTACTGTGGTCTAGTCTTGACCACTGATTCGGCACCCTCCAGCCAATTTCTTACTGCCTCAGCAACCTCATAAAATGTGCTGGACAGGTCCTCTGATGTCGCAAGTTTGCGAGCATGCTCGGCCGATTTCGCCTGGAGAGCGAGCCACTGTCGATTGGTGTCTGCAAGGGCCTTCTGTACGATCTGTTTCTCCACAGAGTCAGGAGTGTGCTTTATAAGATCACTGCCTTTGGTTCGTAACTTATCCAGCACTTGCTTAAACTCATTGAATTCGTCTTGTAGAGCCTGTAGATATAGATAGGAATATCTCCCCCTTACACCAACTAGACTGAGTATTTATAAATACATGGTAAATAAATAAAACAGAGCAAAATAATCAACAGAAGTTACCGATTTCTCTAAGCATTAATTGAACAGTTTGAACAACTATTAATTCAAAATATATATTTTACAAAACAAGTTTTGACAGGTAACATGACTTACAAGGTTACTTTTACCTATGTGAGTATAAGGACAGCTACAGGTAGGTAAATATTGAATTCTCACCTGGTATTGTCAGTACACATTTGGAGAATTCAAAACTCAATTTGTAATTCAGGTTTGATACAAGTAATATGGATCTAACATTATGGCAGACAGAAAACTGAGGTATATTTCTAGCGAACACAGTGAGAATTCTGACAGATTTAATGTATAGAGATTATATACAAATTTAATTTAGAGTTTTCATACATTTTTGTACCTGATACAAAAGCCTGGATTTCCCAGGCTCAGAGCTTATCTGTCAAAGTTTAACCCCACTATGTGTTACGATATAAATTTACCTTAACATGTTACAGTGGACCTGACCAAACTTTTGAAAGAAATATCTTTGTCTACTGATAATAGACAGCAATTGATTTCCTATTCATTTCTAAATCAAATAATGAACAATTTTGGACCAAGCCCTGGTGTAGTTTACCTTAATCCCTGGTCAAATTCCCCAGTAATTTTGGGAGATAAGTGCAGAGCCAAATCCAATAGAATTCTAACCAACATAAAAACTTCCAACTTTTTGGAGAACTATCAAGAACGAACAGTGGTGTTAATTGTAGCTAGCTGTGTGTAAATTATTAGGTAGAACTTGATAAGAATCAGAGGTAAACACACCTGGGAGTGATCGCATTCCTTTATTGTAAGACCAAAGAGTCCGTTACCCGTGTACTTACACGTAATGTAGGTAAAAATCACAACACGCTAGTTCAAGCAGAAATATCAACAACTGGTGGTAGATCAGTGAGATCGGAGATAAAACAGCTGACGATACAAACACCGATCACTGTTGTATGTCTGGGTGGGTTGTGATCGAGTGCAAACAGAAGTATTTTACTGGTGTAAGTCTTTATATAAACTAAAGACACGAGAGTGACTTACTGTACCTTGAGTAACTGTGGACATTGCTGACAGTAGTAATCATGCTATTCAGTTTGATTAAGTAATGAAAGAATCAGGATTTGATTAAATTCTGTTTTGTGGTGACAACATTTAATTTTTTTGTTTAAAACAATATCTTTTCCAGTTAAATAAGTTCATCATTTTATAATGATTCTAAGTAATGTGGTTCTCTAGAACTAAATATACGTGTGTGTCAAACTGACATTAATGCCACCCCTGTCTCGTATCTTATGACCGGAATACATTATCATCAATACTTTTACATTTTGTTAAATATTTTTCAATTATAAATTTATCATATTGCAATCTAAAATTGAAAACATTTATTTGTGTTTCCATTCCTATTTAAGTAAAAATTAATTATCAACATATATAATAGAACTAACAATCTAAACACTAACTGCCATCTGCTAATTATTCAAACCCAATGGCCTGCATTACCAAACAGGGTTTAACCTTACACCATTTACCTTCTAAATGGATCAAAGTCAAATATATTTAAATGGATAGGGTACAGGTGAAATATCATTACTTACTGACTAGGTAATGGTACAGGTTTAATATCATTACCTATGGACTAGATAAGGGTACAGGTGAAATATCATTACCTATAGATAAGGGTACATGTGAAATATCATTACCTATAGGTAATGATATTTCACATGTACCCTTATCTATAGGTTATTATATTTCACATGTACCCTTAACTATAGGTAATGATATTTCACATGTTCCCTTATCTATAGGTTATGATATTTCACATGTACCCTTATCTATAGGTTATTATATTTCACATGTACCCTTAACTATAGGTAAGGGTACATGTGAAATATCATAACCTATAGATAAGGGTACATGAGAAATATCATTACCTATAGATAAGGGTACATGTGAAATATCATTACCTATAGTTAAGGGTACATGTGAAATATCATAACCTATAGATAAGGGTACATGTGAAATATCATAACCTATAGATAAGGGTACAGGTGAAATATCATTACCTATAGATAAGGGTGCAGGTGAAATATCATTACCTACTGACTAGGTAAGGGTACAGGTGAAATATCATTACCTATAGAAGGGAACATGTGAAATATCATTACCTATAGATAAGGGTACATGTGAAATATCATTACCGATAGATAAGGGTACATGTGAAATATCATTACCTACTGACTAGGTAATGGTACAGGTGAAATATCATTACCTATAGATAATGGTACAGGTGAAATATCATTACCTATAGATAATGGTACAGGTGAAATATCATTACCTATAGATAAGAGTACAGGTGAAATATCATTACCTATAGATAAGGGTACATGTGAAATATCATTACCGATAGATAAGGGTACATGTGAAATATCATTACCTACTGACTAGGTAATGGTACAGGTGAAATATCATTACCTATAGATAAGGGTACATGTGAAATATCATTACCTACTGACTAGGTAATGGTACAGGTGAAATATCATTACCTATAGATAAGGGAACAGGTGAAATATCATTACCTATAGATAAGGGAACAGGTGAAATATCATTACCTATAGATAAGGGTACATGTGAAATATCATAACCTATAGATAAGGGTACAGGTGAAACATCATTACCTATAGATAAGGGTACAGGTGAAATATCATTACCTACTGACTAGGTAAGGGTACAGGTGAAATATCATTACCTATAGATAAGCGTACATGTGAAATATCATTACCTATAGATAAGGGTACATGTGAAATATCATTACCGATAGATAAGGGTACATGTGAAATATCATTACCTACTGACTAGGTAATGGTACAGGTGAAATATCATTACCTATAGATAAGGGTACAGGTGAAATATCATTACCTACTGACTAGGTAAGGGTACAGGTGAAATATCATTACCTATAGATAAGGGTACAGGTGAAATATCATTACCTATGACTCTTGGTCCTTCAATAAAACCTGTTAAATGTTTTAACACATTTGACCCCTGTAACCTTGAAAGTTGGAAAATATCATTCATTTGTACACACTTGGTTGCCCTTCATCCTAGCGTGGTACTGACATTATATCATCACTGTGAGGGCCTTTGGTTAAGGAGAAGAAATCGTATATTTATGTTCACACATTTGACCCCTGTAACCTTGAAAGTTGGTTAACTCCATTTACAACAACTTTTTTAGATTATAGTGAAGGCCTGATGTGATAAAATACATTCATCTTTCATTTTATAATTATAATATCTATTCTCTTTGAATAATAAAATTACCCTGCTAACTTGAGACCATTTAACTTGAATTCAGAACAATATTACATCATCTCAAATACACATTGTTTTATTTCAAATTCTATGATTATCTTGTTATGTAGTAACTTCAGGTGTTTATATGTGTTTGTGGTTGTTTGTATCAAACAGGACAGAAAAGCACCATGATCAACCAAACTACCAGGTATCCACTTTCATCAGGGTGTTGCTATCAAACAGGTCAGAAAAGCACCATGATCAACCAAACTACCAGGTATCCACTCTCATCAGGGTGCTGCTATCAAACAAGACAGAAAAGCACCATGATTAACCAAACTACCAGGTATCCACTTTCATCAGGGTGCTGCTATCAAACAGGACAGAAAAGCACCATGATCAACCAAACTACCAGGTATCCACTTTCATCAGGGTGCTGCTATCAAACAGGACAGAAAAGCACCATGATCAACCAAACTACCAGGTATCCACTTTCATCAGGGTGCTGCTATCAAACAGGACAGAAAAGCACCATGATCAACCAAACTACCAGGTATCCACTTTCATCAGGGTGCTGCTATCAAACAGGACAGAAAAGCACCATGATCAACCAAACTACCAGGTATCCACTTTCATCAGGGTGCTGCTATCAAACAGGACAGAAAAGCACCATGATCAACCAAACTACCAGGTATCCACTTTCATCAGGGTGCTGCTATCAAACAGGACAGAAAAGCACCATGATCAACCAAACTACCAGGTATCCACTTTCATCAGGGTGCTGCTATCAAACAGGACAGAAAAGCACCATGATCAACCAAACTACCAGGTATCCACTTTCATCAGGGTGCTGCTATCAAACAGGACAGAAAAGCACCATGATCAACCAAACTACCAGGTATCCACTTTCATCAGGGTGCTGCTATCAAACAGGACAGAAAAGCACCATGATCAACCAAACTACCAGGTATCCACTTTCATCAGGGTGCTGCTATCAAACAGGACAGAAAAGCACCATGATCAACCAAACTACCAGGTATCCACTTTCATCAGGGTGCTGCTATCAAACAGGACAGAAAAGCACCATGATCAACCAAACTACCAGGTATCCACTTTCATCAGGGTGCTGCTATCAAACAGGACAGAAAAGCACCATGATCAACCAAACTACCAGGTATCCACTTTCATCAGGGTGCTGCTATCAAACAGGACAGAAAAGCACCATGATCAACCAAACTACCAGGTATCCACTTTCATCAGGGTGCTGCTATCAAACAGGACAGAAAAGCACCATGATCTACCAAACTACCAGGTATCCACTTTCATCAGGGTGCTGCTATCAAACAGGACAGAAAAGCACCATGATCTACCAAACTATCTGGTATCCACTTTCATCAGGGTGCTGCTATCAAACAGGACAGAAAAGCACCATGATCAACCAAACTACCAGGTATCCACTTTCATCAGGGTGCTGCCATGTTACAAACCAAGCTGGTACTTTAATGTAGTCATTCAATTACTGTAAACACCGAGTTCACAGGACAACTGCTTCAAGGGAGAGAACTCACTCAAAACAAATTAAACACATATAGCAGTCCCTGTACAACTGCCAGAAACTGTCTCTATGAATCGAACTTTTTACCTGTATGACAATAGCTTTAATGAATCATTTTTGAATGGAAACAAACACCTTGTGGAATTTTAATGAACTAAGAACAAAGAAGAAACAAAAGAATCATCAACAACAGTGTTTTGAAAATGCAATTAGGACCGGGCAGGGATTCCTACCCTGGATCTTCCTGGCCGAGTCTGACAACTGTTTTCTATCTATTACTGGGCCCAGCCTGACAATATTTCCATCTATTTCCTGGCCCAGCCAACCAACATTTCTATCTATTTCCTTGCCCAGTCAGACATAATTTTTATATCTATTTATGGGCCCAGTCTGACAATATTTCTATCTATTTCCTGGCCCAGCCTGACAACATTTCTATCTAACTCCTGGCCCAGCCTGACAACATTTCTATCTTATTCCTGGCCCAACCTGACAACATTTCTATCTATTTCCTGGCCCAGCCTGACAACATTTCTATCTAATTCCTGGCCCAGCCTGACAACATTTCTATCTAATTCCTGACCCAGCCTGACAACATTTCTATCTATTTCCTATCCAAAAATATTAATGATCGGTAATGATGGTATTTTTGTGTGACTGGGATAGGAGCCTGTAGTTTGAGGGTGTATGTTTGAACAGTGTGCAAACTACAGCATAATATGTATCACACAAGTATAAATTTCTCACAAAAATTAAGAACGGTTACAAATTATTTACGGACCTGATGTTTCTGTTGACTGTCTGGAATGTTGATGATTCGCTCCTGTAAACGAAGCTCCGCCTCTCCCAGCCAGGCGGACGCATCCCGCAGTGCCGAGGTCACTTCCTCTCTGTCCTCCTTGATATGCTGTAGCTCCTCCTCTTTTGCTTTCATTGCCATGCCAACGTCAGCTTCTAGTTCACGTAAGCTTGACATTTGCATTTTCATCTCGACTGGAATATCCTTGCCCATGGTGGAATATTTCGTTTCTTGGAGCTGACCCATGTGGCGCATTTGCTCCATGCGAATGGCTACCTCCTGTTCAAGCACCTACAAACAACAAATTCAAATTGAATTGATTATGAAAAAGAACTACCTACTATTGTACAAAATTCTGGTATTAAAAGTAAAGTGCATAACAGTTAGAAATTAAACAGTGAATTATAAGTCCATCAAGATTATTGTGAAATCAGACTGATAGAATGGTACAAGTATCTACTCCACTTGCGGCAGTAGTGATAGAAGTTTAACGGGAATTTATATGTACAAACAAGCAGGAGACCTTCTGTAAAATTCTGATATTGCAGAGTACTAAAACATTCGAGGAATAGGATCACAGTATTTAGGGAAACAAGCATTTCTAAACATCAGTGATATTTACCTTTTGTTTTTCCATTTTCTCCATCACATCAGACACCTCTTTGCCAGGGTCCATGAGAGAAAGTTCATGTTTCGTCTCCGAGAGCCAAGCCATTGTTTGGTCAGCCTCATTCTGGAAAGAGCTCCTATCATCAATTTCCTCCAGAATGATGGCTTCCCGTTCGTTGGCTTGGTCAGTAATTCTGAGTGAGAAAAACAGAATTTAATACGTTTATAGAATATAATGAACAAGAGAAACTGGGCGAGCTCACAAAGATATACTGCTTCATCTGATCCAGGTATTCAAACTGAGTTTGCAGGGGGTACAATAACCAAATTACAAATCACTTCCATCCTGCATATCTACGTATGATGTTCACTGTGCCAGGTTACAAAATTATTTAACAAACAGTTAAGGAGGAGTTGCACTTACAAGGTTTCTGGACCAGAAATTCAAAGTTTCAAGGGCAATAACTCCAGGACAAATAGTCAAATCACAACTTCCCTTTCTCTGTCACGTACTTTCACTACGTCACATTAAAAAAACATTCTAACAGTTTAAGAGAAGCGCTGCTGACAAGGTTCATGGACAATTGGACAGACGGACAGACACAGTGAGTACATTAGGGCACAATTGGACAGACGGACAGACACAGTGAGTACAGTAGGACAGACACAGTGAGTACAGTAGGACATAAAACAGACACAGTGAGTACAGTAGGACAGGCACAGTGAGTACAGTAGAACAGACACAGTGAGTACAGACCGACAGACACATTGAGTACAGTAGGACAGACACAATGAGTACAGACAGACAGACACAGTGAGTACAGATGGACAGACACAGTGAGTACAGTAGAACAGACACAGTGAGTACAGACCGACAGACACATTGAGTACAGTAGGACAGACACAATGAGTACAGACGGACAGACACAGTGAATACAGACGGACAGACACAGTGAGTACAGACGGACAGACACAGTGAGTACAGTAGGACAGACACAGTGAGTACAGTAGGACAGGCACAGTGAGTACAGTAGAACAGACACAGTGAGTATAGACGGACAGACACAAAGAGTACAGTAGGACAAACACAGTGAGTACAGACGAACAGACACAGTGAGTATAGACGGACAGACACACAGAGTACAGTAGGACAGACACAGTGAGTACAGACGGACAGACACAGTGAGTACAGATGGACAGACACAGTGAGTACAGTAGGACAGACACAGTGAGTACAGTAGGGCAGACACAGTGAGTACAGTAGGACAGACACAGTGAGAACAGTAGGACAGACACAGTGAGTACAGAAGGACAGACACAGTGAGTACAGATGGACAGACACAGTGAGTACAGTAGGACAGACACAGTGAGTACAGTAGGGCACCAGCATATCTGACCTCATAGACAGAAATATTCATAAATCATAAGTGATCTGTAGCCTTTGATCACCACACCTCAATTTCACTGACCTTTCCAGTTTCTCCAACAGAGCCATGACCTGTTCCTGTGTCTGAACTTTGGCCTCAGCTGTGGGCAGATTCCTTTGTAGGTTTTGCGCACTCTTCTTTAGTGCATCAATCTTTGGTGCAAATATGTCCAGTGTGGTACACAGGTCCTGTATATAGGGAAGGAAGAGTCAGTACAGAAGTTCTATAGGAGACAGTGATAAACAAGTCTCCAAACCTATAACGACTGACCCACCCTGTCACCGGCAATCGTCCCATTGGTCCATTCCCAGTAAACTTGTATTGTAGACCAGGACATTTTTGCCACAGCCTATATTTTGCCTTTTTGCCCTTCAAATGAGAATGAGTTACTTTTTGCCACAGCCAATATTTTGCCTTTTTGCCCTCCAAATGCGAGCGAGTTACTCCTTAAAAGGATTATAGTTATTCAACATACTATAATATTTAGTCATTCCATGTTAGTTACGTTGGGCAAATACTGATTTTACCAGTGAATGGCGGAAGTTTCTTGGTAAACAATAACACAATCACAGGCGTTTGAGGTCAAAAGTGGTGCAAAAATATCCTGATAACATATGTACATGGCAGATTTTTATTATCTCTATTGAATAAGTCCTGTTTCCTCATCCTGACAGACACCAATGTTAAGTCTCTGGGTAGAACAAATATACAATATTACCTTAGTTTCATTGAGCTTTTTCACCAAGTCATGACTTGTGGCATTTTCCACGTCTATACCCGGAAGTGATGCGTCTGCTTCCTGTAGCATTGTCTCGACAGCATACAGCAGGGTGTTGTATTCGTCCCACTGTGCTCCAAGGTCCTGGACATTAAAGACAAGGTCACACAATGTTCCTCCATAATTCTATGTCTATAAGCAGGTTCTACTTCAGTAGTAAGTAAAAAAAGTTACAAAATTAAAAAGAAGATATTTTACCTGCATGGTCATCTGATTGTTTTCTGTCTGACAGACCAGTTTGTTCCATCGTGCGTTGACTTCCGTGATAAGTTTGCTGACCATGGCCCGGCTGCTTGCATTGCCAGCTTTTTCCAGCTCACGAAACTTATCATTGAGGTCATTTATTGATGGTCTTATTTCATCGATCTTAGCAAGAAAGTCCTAGAAAAATAGAAATGATATCATGTTTCAAATAGAATTTTTTTTGTTATTTTTTTTTCCAAGACAATTTTGTTTACAGCAAAATTTTATTCCTGAAATAATACCACATGAGTTGATGGCAAAATGTATACCTTGTAACATTTAGACAGTAATATTTCAGCAGATAAAATAGAATTTTATTTGTGGACTAACATGGTTCTATAAACACTGAGGAGAAGGCAGGATGTTATTACCTTGGTCGCGACAGTCTGCTTGTGAACAGCATCAGGAGTTATTGCGGGCATGTGTGACAACACCCCCCATTCCTCCTCCAGCTGGTCTATCTGCTCAATCACACCATACCCATCCTCCTGTAAAACAGATGTCATGCCTGCATTATATCACAAGAACAAGAGGCCCAATCAGCCTGCATCAATCAGCTGGTATAAATCTCACACTTGTACCCTTAAAAGTGCACTAAAAGAACATGCTACTGATCAAATATCATCACCCTAAGGATCTGGATTATAATTGCCATTTAGAAATAAAAAAAATTGACACTGAACGCATGGCAGATTCTGCATTATGGTGAACTAGAAAACCACCTGTGTAGTTACTATAAACCCGTCAACAAAATTTTAACACTGATAGAAAGTTTTTAATTCCAAATCGTAACAACACTGTAAAGTTGTTTAGAGGATACAGTGGTTAACATGACTTAAATTACAGTAACATGTTTGTATTTTACGAAAGGGAGATAACTATATATCAAATACCTGGTAACGAAAGGGAGATAACTATATATCAAATACCTGGTAACGAAAGGTAGATTACTATATATCAAATACCTGGTAACGAAAGGGAGATAACTATATATCAAATACCTGGTAACGAAAGGGAGATAACTATATATCAAATACCTGGTAACGAAAGGGAGATAACTCTATATCAAATACCTGGTAACGAAAGGGAGATAACTATATATCAAATACCTGGTAACGAAAGGGAGATAACTCTATATCAAATACCTGGTAACAAAAGGGAGATAACTCTATTTAAAATACAAGATTAATGTATTGTTAAATTAAAGCTTTATTTGATTATTATACAGATGAATAAGGATATACAAGTGAAATTTTATAAAGGACCGACCTGGAAGGTACGCCAGTCATCTGCCTTAAGTTCCAAGAACTGCTGTTGCCGTGATGATCCTGCCATCACATTAGCCAACTTTTGATTGGTGTTTTTGAGCATCTGACGCAGAGTTTCTTGGTCATTTTTATCAAGTGTCGGCAAAAGGCGCTCCGACAGGTCCATAACCTGTTCCATTTCATCCTGGCACATACTCGCCTCAGAAAAGTAGTCCTGCAAATATTTCAAAAATACTTCAATAAACAGTGGTAGAATTGAAATATGCTGTCTGAACAGGGTATCTCATGTGATATAATCCCACCACATACACATGCATCGCATAATGAGATCATCCAAGGCAAACATATACCTGTAAAGTTTAGTGAAAATCAGTCACAAAATATGGCCAGAAAAGTGATGACAAAGGGCATAACATATGTATGGGCCGAATGCTATATCCTTCCAACTTTAATTGCCAGGAGATGCAAAATATTCAGGTGGTAAAAAGCTGGTATTGTTTCCCTTAGCCAAACCTCCGTCTGCCATTAGACCTATCTCCCTAGGCAAAATATCATTCTCAATAAGGCTGACTTAAACCTCTTTCTGCAATAAAAGAATCCTTGACAATCTATGTAAGACTGACCTTCTGTTCACTGAGCGTGTCGTTTAGTGTGTCGTAATCAAGACCATCATATCCTGAATCAAGCATGTCCTCAGCCCCACTCAGCCACTCTGTGATCTGTTTCATCGACATGTTTAGCTGCTCCCGGTCGGTCTTGGCCTCCTCAAGGTAACCCTCTTTTTTACCAATGGCATTCTGAGGAATTAAACAGTCAAAATAACCCATACAATGTAATACATATATTAATATATGTAAGATATATTAAACATCTGGAGGGAAAATTAACGCAACAGCAGACAAACTGATTGAGTATGTGTCACTATCTGAATTATATAAAGAGTTCAGTACCTTGATAGAGTCCTCCAGAGTTTTAATTTGGTCCATTTTCTCAATGATGGCTATGGGTAAGGGCTCGTCCAGTTTCTGGTAAATAGCCATTTCCAGCTGGGCCTTATCCTTGACCATGTCCAGTTTCTCCAAAGCTTCCTTAGACAATGCCTACGAAAGAACGTGTTTTTATAACATCACCTGACATCACATGTTTTTATAACATCACTTTTTTTTTATAAAGTCACCTGTTTTTATAATACCACCTGTTTTTATAATGTCATCTGTTTTTATAATGTCACCTGTTTTTATAACATCACTTTTTTTTTATAAAGTCACCTGTTTTTATAATGTCATCTGTTTTTATAACTTCTCATTTTTTTTTATAATATCACCTGTTTTTATAATGTCATCTGTTTTTATGACTTCCCTTTTTACATGACACCAACTGATTTAAGGACATGAGCTGTTCAGAATAGATAAACTGGGGTATAAAGTTAAAAGTTGAAGTGTTAGTGTTTTGAACATACAAGTCTCTCATGGACTATCCCCCCTTTATATGTTTTTCATTAAATTGATCCTGAGTCTGACCCCTGCAACAGTTTTAATTTCTAGCTAAATTCATGACAATACCTTATGTATGTGGAATATGCCTGTCGAAAGGACTATAAACTATAATAACCTACGTTAACCTGCTGGTTCCCTTTCCTTTAAAATTATATACTAAAAAGCTATTCACATGCACAGTTCCTAATAAAAGTCCATATTAATCTGCTGATACCTTGTGTTTGTCCATGGCGTGGTCGACCTTCCTGGTATCCATGTCAAGTGGGTTACAGGCGGCAAGAACATCCTCTTTCTGTTCCAGCCAAACAATCGCCGCTGATATTGTGTTTTCATACTCGTCTTTGTTGCGCTGAAGCATCTCGCACTGTTTGGACTTCCTGTCAGCAGCCTTCTTCAGCTGTTCCAGCTCCCCCCGCAGTGTGTGTGATTCATCAAACACCTGCCGGGCGTCCTCAGTTTTACTCTCAATGCTCAGCTGTTGTGCTCTGTCACCTAGAACTGCAAGCATGGGCTCAGCTGAGGTCACCTTCTCAGAAACAGCCTGCAATAGAAAGAAAAAGACTTAGACACAACCTTACACTGAGAGTACTAGTATAAACAGCTTGTTTCATGCCATGTAAACCTGACCTGTCATACAAATATTTTATCACATACAATCTAAGCTTCTGCTAGCAGAAAAAACACCCTTCCAATTCCTTCATATCTAAGAGTATTTGCAGAACATTTTTTTTCTTTTGGAAACAAAATTAGAAGAACAAAGTTAAATCTCAACATGTCCTCTGCACTACCTTTAGTCTCTCGACTTTGACTGGTAGTGGGAGAATCTGTTCCTCAATCTCCTTTACTTCCTGTTCATACTGCATAGCCATGGCCTGTATAGTGGCCTTCTGGTTGGTGTATTCTTGCCGCAGAGTGATGGCCTGCTGACATTTACGGCATTGCTGCTTAACTTGGTCCTCAAGAAGTTCATACTGTGAAGTTAACTGTAGAATCTCGTCTGCCTCAGAGTTCTGTCCAGTGTTTCTGAGACGCTCCACAGCCTGGTTAAGCTGGGCAATGGACGGTTGATATGTGACCATTTTTTCTCCAATTGTTTCATATTTATTGAGCGAGTCTTCTGCATCTTCTACCGTGATACCAAGAGGCTTATTAGCCTGACGAAGGTCATCTTGTATGGCAACCAACATCTCCTGTGCTTTCTCAATCTCATCAATGACTTGGCTGCGTGTGGCTATGGCACTCTCCAGGGTTGCCAGGCGACCCTTCACCAAAGAATCGACCCTAAGATAAACAAGTTATGAATTTATTAGTTCATTCTACACATGATTCACTAACATTTACCACAACAACAACGACACCAGAACTCTCAGATCGACAATTAATGTCAGCCTGTTTATCAACATATCAATAGTCCACAACAGTTATATCTAACAAGCCAATAGGAATTCACTTCCTCCTTGCTTTGGTATACAAAGTTTTGTCAAGTATTAGCACATAAAAGTTCAATTATTTTATAAAGAATGGCATCCAAATGGCCAGAATTTCTTTTTGTAGATAACATATCACTCAGCTTACTTTTCATATCTGTCTGAAGTAGCCTGAAGAGTCTGGTCCAGCCTGAATTTGTCAGGTTCATAAAGCGACGGGTACATGGTCTGGCCCCGGTCATTTATTTCTTTGATCAGAGATTCAAACATATGGGATGTATTGTCCAGTGTCTGCAAAATAATAACGAACATTTCAGTATGTTTCAGGTTTTGTGTTGTTTTACCAACCATTGACAAGTAGGGGGAGACAACACTGTAAGATAGACGTTCACAAAAGGGGGTCAAACAAACTTCCATGGTTGATATATCATTTTTCATGCCTGGTTGATCACAAGTCTGACAAAGACGTTCGTTACGTAGGTACGGCCTTTGTACAGAAGGGAGAAGACAGCTTCCTCTCTGCAGTCTGCTCTACTTGTTGAAAGTTAACCCACATTTGGTAACTTGAATTGCATAGCAGTTGTTTAGCAGATTAGTATAAAACACCTGTAATGATCCCAGCCTGTGAATTAGATCATCCTGAATTGGTCTCTACGGTAGTTAAATTATTGTAATCTACCCAACGGTTTATTTTCTATTGACCTCTGATGTTCTCTACTGACTTACTGACCTCTTCTCACTTACTGATCCCTACAGACCTACTGATCCCTACTGACCTACTGAACCCTACAGACCTTCTGGTCCCTACTGACCTACTGACCCCTACTGACCTATTGACCTAATGACCTTCTGTTCTCTACTGACCTATTAACCTACTGACTCCTACCTTATATTGCTTGTACTGGTCATCCAGTACTTCTATTGCACAGTCTACACACGGCTCCGTCCCACACTTCATCTCTGTCTCCTTGCACCAACGCTCCACCTTGTGGACATCCTCCTCCATCACCTTCCTTGACGCTACACTGTCCTTCAGACGACCTTGAGACACTGATAACAGGGCTTTAAGGTCATCATATCGGGATTGCACATCTAAAACAGTGAAACAGAAAACTGAGAATAACATGACTTATAACTAATTAGTGACTAGAACTTAAAACATCTGAAGAAAATGTTCACCTCTGGCTCAGTTTCTTGAAAGGGATTTCTTTACAAAAGGCAAAACCCTATTAAAATCATTACATAAAATACTTTTGATTGATAAAAAAAGGAAACAAAAACAGAAAACAGTTAAATTTTACATTTCTCATCTCATTACTCTGACAATAAACCATTAACCCCAATGTTTCCCCCATTAACCTGACAATAAACCATTAACCCGTATGTTTCTCCATTAACCCCCTATGTTTCTCCATTAACCTGACAATAAACCATTAACCCGTATGTTTCTCCACTAACCTGACAATATACCTTTAATCCCTATGTTCTCCATTAACCTGACAATAAACAATTAACCCCTATACTTCTCCATTAACCTGACAATAAACCATTAACCCATATTTCCCCATTAACCTGACAATTAACCATTAACCCAAATGTTTCCCCATTAACTTGACAATAAACCATTAACCCCTATGTTTCTCCATTAACATGACAATAAACCATTAACCTCTATGTTTCTCCATTAACCTGACAATAAACCCCTGTTTCCCCATTACCATGACAATAAACCATTAACCCCTATGTTTCTCCACTAACCTGACAATAAACCATTAATCCCTATATTTCTCCACTAACCTGACAACAAACCATTAATCCCTATGTTTCTCCATTAACCTGACAATAAACCATTAACCCCTGTTTCTCCACTAACCTGACAATAAACCATTAACCCCTATGTTTATCCACTAACCTGACAATAAACCTTTAATCCATATGTTTCTCCATTTACCTGACAATAAACCATTAACCCCTGTTTCTCCACAAACCTGACAATAAACCATTAACCCCTGTTTCTCCACTAGCCTGACAATAAACCATTAACCCCTATGCTTCTCCACTAACCTGACAATAAACCATTAATCCATATGTTTCTCCACTAACCTGACAATAAACCATTAATCCATATGTTTCTCCATTAACATGACAATAAACCATTAACCCCTATGTTTCTCCATTTACCCGACAATAAACCATTAGTCCCTGTTTCTCTATAAACTCTGAGGTTATTGCTATTCTACACTACTACTCATTCTGATTATAGTATCATTTTTGTAATCAAATATACGAAACAAGTTAATCATTAACCAAACAACACACATTCATATATTACATATAAGTTATTAATATTTAAAATCAGTTTAGCAATTCTTTTTCATTTAAGAAACAATTTATCAGGCTGTCATATCTTTAAATTTCCTCCTTTTTCCATGAACTTTAGTTAAATAAGAATATTCAATTAATTACACAAGACCATGCAATACAAGTTGAGGTAAAGAAAATTACGTTAAGTCTGTATGATGTGTCTATGTTTAAACAAATCACTGGGTCATTATTTAGGACAAAACCTAAAGTTAGTAAACACCCAATACCTCATAGCTGTCGGGGACATCTGTAAAAATCAGTGGACAGAGTAAACATATTGTTTTACAGTGGGTCTGATACAACAGCTACCACTTACAAATAGTCAGCTAATACAGGAGACATATACAGCAAAGTCTGATCATACACTGAATTTTCCTGACCATACATTGAAATATCCTGATCAAACACTGTACTATCCTGATCATACACTGTACTATCCTGACCATACACTGTACTATCCTGATCATACACTGTACTATCCTGATCATACACAGAAATATCCTGACTATACACAGAAATATCCTGGCCATACACTGTACTATCCTGACCAGACACTGTACTATCCTGATCATACACTGAAATATCCTGATCATACACTGTACTATCCTGACCAAACACTGAAATATCCTGATCATACACAGAAATATCCTGATCATACACTGTACTATCCTGACCATACACAGAACTATCCTAATCATACACTGTACTACCCTGATCATACACTGTACTATCCTGATCATACACTGTACTATCCTGATCGTACATTGAAATATCCTGACCATACACTGTACTATCCTGATCATACACTGTACTATCCTGACCATACACAGAACTATCCTGACCATACACTGAATTTTCCTGATCATACATTGAAATATCCTGACCATACACTGTACTATCCTGACCATACACTGTACTATCCTGGCCATACACTGTACTATCCTAATCATACACTGTACTATCCTTATCATACACAGAAATATCCGGACTATTCACAGAAATATCCTGACCATACACTGAACTATCCTGACCATACACTTTACTATCCTGATCATACACGGTACTATCCTGATCATACACGGTACTATCCTGATCATACACGGTACTATCCTGACCATACATTGTACTATCCTGATCATACCCTGTACTATCCTGACCATACGCAGAACTATCCTGACCATACACAGAAATATCCTGCCTATACACAGAAATATCCTGACCAGACACTGTACTATCGTGATCATACACTGTACTATCCTCATCATACACTGTACTATCCTCATCATACACTGTACTATCCTTATCATACACAGAAATATCCGGACTATTCACAGAAATATCCTGACCAGACACTGTACTATCGTGATCATACACTGTACTATCATGACGATACACTGTACTATCCTGACTATACACTGTACTATCCTGAACATACACTGTACTATCCTGAGCATACACTGTACTATCCTGACCATACACTGTACTATCCTGATCACACTCTGAAATATTCTGACTATACACAGAAATATCCTGACTATACACAGAAATATCCTGACTATACACAGAAATAACCTGACTATACACAGAAATATCCTGATCACACACTAAACTTTCCTGACCATACACTGAAATATACTATACATATAGCTAGTTCATCAGAAGAGGTAAATGAATTATATACAGCTATAAGATCATACACATGTTTATACTTGGAATATTAGACATGATATACAGATAACCACACATGTCGGGAATTACCATCCAGTGTTATTTATAACAATTAGACGGGGAAACAATACTCAGTGCTATATATAGTATCATTCCTGTTGCAAAAATCCATTCTGTGCTTGTAATTTAGGAGGGAAAAGCACCATTCCATGCTATGAAAATAGCATATATGTTCGGAAACACCTTCCCATGCAATATATACTATATACTGGATAGTGCGGGAAACACGATTCTTTGTGCTATATATAGACCATAAATAACGGGGGGGGGGGGGGGGGGAAATACCTTCTTTTTTGCTGTTTATATAAACTAGTTGTGCATTATTATTATAAGCAACAATGGTACTGATAAACACATTATTTTTCAAATACTGAACACCGGGATTCTTTGTTTTTGTTTTGTTTTACAGCTCATCTACAATGGTCGTTAAGGGCCAAACAACACTAAAAATAGACTGGGAACATCATCAGGGCCAAACAACACTAAAAATAGACTGGGAACATCATCACAGATCAACTTTCTCCCTTTTAGAGCCTAACAACACTAAAAATAGACTGGGAATATCATCACAGATAAACTTTCTCCCTTTTAGGACCAAACAAAACTAAAAATAGACTGGGAACATCATCACAGATCAACTTTCTCCCTTTTAGGACCAAACAACACTAAAAATAGACTGGGAACATCATCAGGGCCAAACAACACTAAAAATAGACTGGGAACATCATCACAGATCAACTTTCTCCCTTTTAGAGCCTAACAACACTAAAAATAGACTGGGAATATCATCACAGATAAACTTTCTCCCTTTTAGGACCAAACAAAACTAAAAATAGACTGGGAACATCATCACAGATCAACTTTCTCCCTTTTAGGACCAAACAACACTAAAAATAGACTGGGAACATCATCAGGGCCAAACAACACTAAAAATAGACTGGGAACATCATCACAGATCAACTTTCTCCCTTTTAGAGCCTAACAACACTAAAAATAGACTGGGAATATCATCACAGATAAACTTTCTCCCTTTTAGGACCAAACAAAACTAAAAATAGACTGGGAACATCATCACAGATCAACTTTCTCCCTTTTAGGACCAAACAACACTAAAAATAGACTGGGAACATCATCAGGGCCAAACAACACTAAAAATAGACTGGGAACATCATCAGGGCCAAACAACACTAAAAATAGACTGGGAACATCATCAAGGCCAAACAACACTAAAAATAGACTGGGAACATCATCACAGATCAACTTTCTCCCTTTTAGGGCCAAACAACACTAAAAATAGCCTGGGAACATCATCATAGATCAACTTTCTCCATTTTAGGCCCAAACGACACTAAAAATAGACTGGGAACATCATCATCACAGATCAACTTTCTCCCTTTTAAGGCCAAACAACACTAAAAATAGCCCGGGAACATACTAGACATACAACTTTGTCATGACAGCGAATATCATCTACACAGTTAACTAGACATACAACTTTGTCATGACAGCGAATATCATTACACAGTCAACTTGACATACATCCTTGTCATGACAGCGAATATCATTACACAGTCAACTAGACATACAACCTTGTCATGACAGCGAATATCATTACACAGTTAACTAGACATACGATTTCCACTGTGAAAGACAATACTCAACAAATATGGATTTTATTTGCGAACCATATTCATTTCGTTATTTATTTTTATTTTCTAAAGATCTTAAAACATTGTAAAAATTTCAGGTAGACAATAAGTCAATTAACAGGATCCCCTCAGGGTCTTTGGGCCACCAGAATTACAAAAATGTTGTTGGATTTTAGGCAAGTGAAAAAAGTCAGGTACTGTTTATGTCATGAAAGATAGTATGAGATTAAAATTTCACATGACAAGCACATTTACCATGGGGGGGTGGGGGGTGGGGGGGGGTGTTGTATTACTATAGAGTGACATATTAACTTGTGTGCAGTTTGGAGATGTCGGTAGACGAGCTGGTGACTTACCATTGATGGCTGTAGTAACAACATGTAAAGATGAAATCGTTGAGCACAAGTTTGTAAAATCATATAACAATCAACAGAATCTTGATGCAGACCTCAAAGAGGTCAGCAATCTATTTGAGTTCAGTACATTTAAAATCATCTTTGGTATACAGCTTGGTAGGAAAATGTATCAGTCCTGAAGTGTTACAAGTGTTACTGTGTACGTGTGGAGTAATGCCTAAGAGTACAAAATGATGTAAACAAACTGTATAGCTCACTCATGACCACCACTACAAAACAGGCTGTATAGCTCACTCATGACCACCACTACAAACCAGGCTGTATAGCTCACTCATGACCACCACTACAAAACAGGCTGTATATAAGGCTGAGTTATGTAATCACGGTAGTGTCCTACTGTAGGACTGAGTACAGTGTGGAATTTAAGGTTGAGTTATGTAATCACAGTAGGGTCCTAATGTAGGACTGAGAACAGTGTGGAATTTAAGGCTGTGTTATGTATTCACAGTAGTGCCCTAATGTAGGACTGAGTACAGCGTGGAATTTAAGGCTGAGTTATGTAATCACAGAAGTGTCCTAATGTAGGACTGAGGACAGTGTGGGATTTAAGGCTGTGTTATGTAATCACAGTAGAGCCCTAATGTAGGACTGAGTACAGCGTGGAATTTAAGGCTGAGTTATGTAATCACAGAAGTGTCCTAATGTAGGACTGAGTACAGTGTGGAATTTAAGGCTGTGTTATGTAATCACAGTAGTGCCCTAATGTAGGACTGAGTACAGTGTGGAATTTAAAGCTGAGTTATGTAATCACAGTAGTGTCCTAATGTAGGACTGAGTACAGTGTGGAATTTAAGGTACAAATCTGTAGCCCCATGTTCATGCAAACTCATTACCTGTAAGTTTATGTTGAAGTTCAGCGATTCTCTCCGGCGGACAGTCAGCCTCCAGAGTTTTTACCTGTCTGGCCAGGCTGTCAATGTTAGGTTTGTAACCTTGCACTTCTGACAGAAGCACCTGTGTAATACAGAAATATAGTAAAATTTTATATCAGTTAAGACCCTGAAATCAAGTTGTTCCTCAATGTAGTTGAAACGAAGAAAGAAATTTGGGCTGTGACAAAGTTTAGACCATTAAAGGATTGACAACTATGTTTTATCACAGGATCCTCTTAGCATTGTGTGATAATAAACATCACATAAATTGGCTTTATAATACACATGTGTAATACCATCACATAAATTGGCTTTATAATACACATGTATAATACCATCACTTAAATTTGCTATATATTATACATGTGTAATACCATCACTTAGATTGGCTATATAATACACATGTGTAATACCATCACTTAAATTGGCTATATAATACACATGTGTAATACCATCACATAAATTGGCTATATAATACACATGTGTAATACCATCACATAAATAGGCTATATAATACACATGTGTAATACCATCACTTAGATTGGCTATATAATACACATGTGTAATACCATCACTTAAATTGGCTATATATTATTCATGTGTAATACCATCACTTAGATTGGCTATATATTACACATGTGTAATACCATCACTTAAATTGGCTATTTAATACACATGTGTAATACCATCACTTAGATTGGCTATATATTATACATGTGTAATACCATCACTTAAATTGGCTATATATTACACATGTGTAATACCATCACTTAAATTGGCTATATATTACACATGTATAATACCATCACTTAAATTGGCTATATATTACATGTATAATTGCATCACATAAATCTATGAATTGGCCATATTTCACATGTGTAATAAAACCCTTTCTGATGTCATATGTAACAAGGAGATGGTGATATTTTACATAACAAATCTCATATTATCAAATGAAATATGGTTTGATACTTCTATGATTGTTCAGGTCAAACTACATAGAAATACATTCTTCAGGACCGAATTCTGTCATGTTTCAGGATATCCAATAACAGTATTTTATAGAACATCAATCTTTATCAGTCTGAGAAAAGTGATTTAGCGGGTAGACACATCAGAAAGTTTGCTTCATTCTCAATTCTAACTGCACAAATTGAAAGATTGGAAAATATTACCAACCTACACAGACAAGTTCTAAAACTCGTCAATTAAAACCTTATGATAAAACAAAATAACATCAACATTTTTGAAACTTCCTTTTATCTTTCTAAAATAAATTCATAAAACGCGAAAGTTTGCTGAGAGAGCAATTTTTGTTTGACAATAACTATACGTACATGTATAGTGGGTTATATAATTACAGGTCACCAATCATACCAGTGTTTATATGTTCATGAAGTATTAATGAATCTCTCGAGATAAATAAAATGTTGACAGGGCTTTGCCTATAAATCAATAGACATTTTCAATGGTATAGTGTGTGAATCGTACAATATATCCAAGTTTGTACAATATATCCAAGTTAACAATTGTTAAGTGTCCCTGAGGTTATTGAATTGTCAGGAATCCTGATCATAGTACACCGATATGATGATTATTGACAGTTTGTAAACTTGTAAACAAGTGGCTCATGAAATATTCATTGATTTCCGTGATCAGCTTTGTGGTTTAGGTTATGCTCCGATTGGTGGAACTGTGACACCACAGACAGCTCTAACCACAAATACCAGCACAGACAAATTGTAAATACAATATCTACTGGTCAAGTTTGTGTATGGAAGGGTACAAGATCTAGATCTGTAGTCTACGATGAGTGTCTGACAACACCACACGTAGGATTTCTACAGCTCAGTGTGTATGTACTCACACAATTCTATGTATGCCGGTACATGAAATTAAGGGACTAACAAGATTTATTCTACATACAACTGTTTTACATTTCATTTGTATGGGCCCTTAAATAAAGCACTAGGATACCTTGCACTTTTCAAGTTGTTTCTCGGCTTCAGAGCTCTGCAGACGGACGGATTCTAATTTATTGGCATCACGCTCCTTATTTTGTAGCCACATGTTGATGCGGTTGAGACTAGAATGGAACAGTTCTCGATGGCTGACGTTCTCCGCGAAGAGTTTCTGTTTGTCCAAAGCCAATGCGTAAACCCTCTGGTGGTCAGCGTTGATCATGGAGACCCATTTCTCCACCATCTCTCGCTCTTTACGGGGCAGGTCTTGGACTAAGGCCTCGACCTTGTGACCGACATTTTCCAAGGTCATTTGTCTTGCCTCCAGCTCAACAACAAGCTCCTACAGAGACAGGGAAGCAAATCAGGAGCAATAATCAAAAGGTTTAGGTTCAAGGAATAGCACACATGTATCACACAGATATAGGAGGTCAACATATCCTTTGGAGTTTATTTCTAAATTTGCATAATGATATATAGACTAGTTCTGTTAATTAAGCTAGAATCCCATACAGTGCATTCTCTGGAGCTGTTTGATACCAGCAGCATGATGTACCAAACTTTAATCTCTTCTATCATCTGTAGGTCATTGTTGCTACCTACCTTCTGTTTGGTGAGCATAGCCTCTGCGTCCTTGACACTGTAACCGAGGGGCGTGTCCTGAGTAAGCTCTGCCTCCTTGTCACCTAGCCATTTCATGTAGGCATCAACTTCACCCTGGATCTCCTCCAGATTCGTACCCAGAATGCCGTGCTTTTTCAGACTCCGGGAGGCCCGAGCTTGTACATCACTGTGCCGTTTCTCAATCTCTCTAGTGAAACAGCAGAGATAAATAATACCACAAGGAACAGAAGAAATAAATAATACCACGAGGTTGGAATTAAATACTATTATATGGCATTGAGCCTTGCTAGTAGAGGGCTGTTCTATTGACTGATAGGCATACACAATACATTATTAACTTTAACTCAATGTTAACTAAGGCCAGCTGTAAATAGTAAATTTCATTACGTGAGCTAGAGCTTCATGTTCAAATGCCAAAGAAAGCAGTTCAATGCTTATAGGTCCTGAATACAGTAGAACATTGTTAATGAGGACTACAATGACTTCAGTTTCCAGATGAAAGAAAACCAGGCAAAGTATTGCATGGCAATCCATACAGAACCACAGGTAAAGATTTCTGTATGACCAACTTACTGTGAAGTATCCTGATACAGAAAACAGTATTGTTTTTGAATGATTGCAGTCCGAGGTCAAGATAGATACCAGTGACTTGTGTAGGGTACAATCCATTCTGTCATCTCAGGCTATACCTGTGTACTCCCATACCAAATTACTCCAGGAGAAGTAAGAAGATAAGCTTTGGGCAAACTTTTCAATGACAGAGGTCAAAGGTCAAAGCCTATGTCACAGTGACTTACTTTTCATAGTATTCACTCCACCACCATCATGAGATATACTGAATGTGGTATGCTTCTTTTTAAAGGTTAAGGTCAAAGCATTGTTAANGTAACTAGTGGGGGACTATTGATTGAGTGGTACCCCCTCCCCCTGGTAACTAGTGGGGGACTATTGATTGAGTGGTACCCCCTCCCCCTGGTAACTAGTGGGGGACTATTGATTGAGTGGTACCCCCTCCCCCTGGTAACTAGTGGGGGACTATTGATTGAGTGGTACCCCCTCCCCCTGGTAACTAGTGGGGGACTATTGATTGAGTGGTACCCCCTCCCCCTGGTAACTAGTGGGGGACTATTGATTGAGTGGTACCCCCTCCCCCTGGTAACTAGTGGGGGACTATTGATTGAGTGGTACCCCCTCCCCCCGGTAACTAGTGGGGGACTATTGATTGAGTGGTACATGTATCAGCTCTGATTTCAGCAATCCAGTATTCTATATTTTTGAAGTGTTTGTCAGCTCATTGGAGTTCTGATAAACAATGTTCCACTGTATTCATTTGTACAGTTTACATCATTTCAGCAGTAGGTAAAACTAACTTGATTTGTCCCTCCACCAGTTCACGGTCGGCTTGGCTGACACGTTTGAGTGTATCACCCGATTTTGTCCGCAGTCCATCCACAGCATCACGCCGGAGGTCAAGTTGATCAGACAGGTTCTAAAAAAATAAAACACATGTAATGTAATAACAATTATGAATGAGACAATTTTCTACATAATCTTTTAGTATTGCTTATTGTCAGAGGACTTGGTAGGTAGAGGATCCCTGATCACCTCTGACCCCTGACCCCATGTATCTACAGGAGCCCCCTCCAGGTAGAGGATCCCTGATCACCTCTGACCCCTGACCCCATGTATCTACAGGAGCCCCCTCCCCTGACAATGTATCTATGACAATCAATGTACAGGAGGTCGGAAATCTATGCTGTATGTTATTCAGGCAATGTCAATTGATTCAAACCAATGAAAATCCTCACAGGCAATTTAGCAGCTGGAGATATGGTAATATCTTTCTGTTATGTTACACCCTCAATGACTCGTGGAACACATAAACACAATAAGACAGAACGACAGAACAACTCAATACCTTCAAAAAGACAGAAAGGCAGAACAACACAATACCTTCAATAAGACAGAAAAAGAAATAAACTCAAAAGTGAGTCATTTATTAACTTTATAAAGCAGTAGAATGAGAGGTACAGCAATGGAAGTGACTTGTTTGGAATGAAATTGAAATCAGATAGGTTCTAAAATGAGCGTAAGAAAGTCGTTATCAAGTTCAAACATACTGGTATATAGGTACGCCTCACCAATGGATTTCAACGTACAAAGGCAAGCCAGGTACATTTAGGTAAGAAATTTTCAAATCAAACTCGATAGATAGCATATTGAAACAGGTAGATATAACATTGAAGTCTCAATACAATGTTATTAATCAAACTGAGAAACCACAAATAGATTTTATTTCCTTGTTTACACAGCTACAGGTGAGCAGTGACAGCCAATTTGTGAGTTTGACACAGGTGAATGGGCATCCATTGTCAGGTTACTACTCCAACAGATAGAGCCAAACAGGAAATCAGGCACCTACAGCCTTTTAATAGCGGGGTACCTGACTCTGAAATGATACCATTGGGTTGTAATCTAGAAACATGAAGAGGTATGTGGAATACATTAAGCTTGTGAGGCATGGCTGTCAACGATTACCTGTCAGTGTTACAGTGGAGCCGTTTAATTGAGATATATACCACCCCAGCGACCTACTTGACCTTTGATTGAGGGACAACACGCTAATTTCATGCTCAATGGATCCCCAGAGTGTGATATTATCTAATGTCTACCTTTATCTTACATCCTATAAATAGTGAATTAATTAAGTAGTGAACCAACCCATTTGTGTAACTACAGTACACTTTACAATACAACATAGTTAATATAGGGGGCATGTCGATGTTACAGGGTAAACATAGGGGGCATGTCGATGTTACAGGGTAAACATAGGGGGCATGTCGATGTTACAGGGTTGATGTAGAGGCCACGGCGATGTTACAGGGTTAATGTAGAGGGCACGGCGATGTTACAGGGTTAATGTAGAGGGCACGGCCATGTTACAGGGTTAATGTAGAGGGCACGGCGATGTTACAGGGTAAACATAGGGGGCATGTCGATGTTACAGGGTAAACATAGGGGGCATGTCGATGTTACAGGGTTAATGTAGAGGGCATGTCGATGTTACAGGGTTAACTCAGGGCGACATGATGATGTTACAGGGTTAACTCAGGGTGACATGATGATGTTACAGGGTATATATATATATAAATGCAGGGGGACATATTGATGTGATAGGTGAACTCATTTACCCCTGAAGATACTTTTGAATTCCTCCAATTCAAAGGTTGGAATAGTTCATTATGAAAGTTCAGGTATGAATTCGAATGAGCTAAGGTGGGGGGACATGTTGATGTTACAGGGTTAGTGGTGGGGTGACACGTACGTGACATGTTTGTATTACAGGTATTACAAATTAAGGGCTGATATAACTGTCAGAACATCATCATGAGGAATATATAGGTAAACTTAACATGGAGACTCAATGAAACACTGTTACATAAGGTATACCTGGTCCTAGCGACCAGTATAAATTGATCAATTGTCCAGTACACAGACACAAACAGATACCTACTCAATGTAATAACATACAGGTGTATACATACCAGGTGAACCAGAAATATTGTTAGAATCATCAATATCTCATAATCCCATACAAAGGAACTTGGTTGATTTATTTTACATCATGAATATTCATTAGGGTCGGAAGCTAAAGTCAGTCATGGATTTATAATAGCTGGGAATCTACGAATATTACCAAGGTTTATCTGTGATATATAACATAAGTTTATCTGTGATATATAACATAAGTTTATCTGTGATATATAACTTAAGTTTATCTGTGATATATCACATAAGTTTATCTGTGATATATAACATAAGTTTATCTGTGATATATCACATAAGTTCATCTGTGATATATCACATAAGTTTATCTGTGATATATAACATAAGTTTATCTGTAGAGAATACATTGTTTAATGTCCCTGTAGATAATACATTGATTGATGTCCCTGTAGAAAATACATTGTTTGATTTCCCTGTAGATAATACATTGTTTGATTTCCCTGTAGAAAATACATTGATTGATGTCCCTGTAGAGAATACATTGTTTGATGTCCCTGTAGAGAATAAATTGTTTGATGTCCCTGTAGAGAATAAATTGTTTGATGTCCCTGTAGAGAATAAATTGTTTGATGTCCCTGTAGAGAATACATTGGTTGATTTCCGTGTAGAAAATACATTGTTTGATTTCTCTGTAGAAAATACATTGTTTGATGTCCCTGTGGATAATACATTGTTTGATGTTCCTGTAGAGAATACATTGTTTAATTTCCCTGTAGAGAATACATTGTTTAATGTCCCCGTAGAGAATACATTGTTTAATGTCCCCGTAGAGAATACATTGTTTGATGTCCCTGTGGATAATACATTGTTTGATGTTCCTGTAGAGAATACATTGTTTGATGCCCCTGTAGAAAATACATTGTTTGATTTCTCTGTAGAAAATACATTGTTTGATTTCTCTGTAGAAAATACATTGTTTGATTTCCCTGTAGAAAATACATTGATTGATGTCCCTGTAGAAAATACATTGTTTGCTTTCCCTGTAGTAAATACATTGTTTGATGTCCCTGTCAATAATACAATGTTTGAAGTCCCTGTAGAGAATACATTGTTTGATGCCCCTGTAGAAAATACATTGTTTGCTTTCCCTGTAGTAAATACATTGTTTGATGTCCCTGTAGATAGTACATTGTTTGATGTCCCTGTAGACAATACATTGTTTGATGTCCCTGTTGATAATACATTGTTTGATGTCCCGGTAGATAATACATTGTTTGATGTCCCTGTAGAGAATACATTGTTAATGTCCCTGTAGATAATACATTGTTCGATTCCCCTGTTGAGAAAACATTGTTTTATTCCCTTGTAGATAATATATGGTTTGATGTCCCTGTAGATAATATATGGTTTGATGTCCCTGTAGAAAATTTATGGTTTGATTCCCCTGTTGAGAAAACATTGTGTACCTGTATTTTGTTGTAAGAATGTTGCATCACAAATTTTAAGAAACTATAGATTTTTTTCCTGCATAATCAATAAGATATTGATATGTCAAACCTCCTTAGTGCGACTTAATTAATACACAGCATGTTAGTTCCTGGCTGCTATGATCCTTTCAGTCTATTAGCTGTTCACCGATGGAGTTCTCAGATAAGTATTACATTTTAATTAATGATACATTACAGGTACATCTACTGCAATCAATATCCACCCACTCAGACAAGTTACACCAATACCTGGGTAGCATGCCTCCGGATACAATTTTATACATGAATTCACTATCTTTATTGAAACCCTGATGCACATTTCTTCAACATTCTACATACATATATTAGTCGACTTTAGCGAAGCAGCAGTACATTATTTAATTATACGGCTCGCGTTAAATTCCTCTACATCAATATGTATAAGAATAACATTTATGATTCAGTTGAACTAATCCAACAACATGTACTTACTATTTCAATGATTTATCAAATATAAATAATGATGCAAACATTTTTAGCTTAAAACAGTTTCCTATAGAACTGAGAAGATCAGATTACTCGGAGCCAGTCATCGTAAGAGGTAGATCCCATGGCCATAGGACTTACATTTGATCAACCTTACATGAAGGCTGAGGGGGGAAACCTGCTCAAGGGGATGTTTCTGATTTGTCGTTGGTGGTGTCAGTAGTAGAATTTACATGGTACACTACACTTACAGCTTCCGACCAGGTTAACTTGTGGCATTGATGTTCCGTGCTTTGAGGAACATAAAAAATGTCTCTAACTTAGTAATATCTATATATCATGCCCATCTTCAATCCTCACCTAACTTGACAAAGTTTGGTGAAATCACCACTGCACTGTATACACAGAGTACTGGTAACTGCTGATCTCTAAGGATAGGACTGAAAAACCAGCTCAGTGAAGTATTCATTTCATATTTTTTCTTTTCAATCTGACCACAATGGATTTGTTTGTTTAAATTCAAATATAAGAAATAATCGCATAAGGAGAAGTGCTTAGTCTTCAGAGCCACAGTGGGTACAATACAGAGGCTTACCTATATCAGTGTGTAGTATAGGGGCCAGGGAATTCACTCAAATACTACGGAATGTGGTCAGTCAATAAAAACTATAGGTATAAATTAAAGCTTGACCAGAAAAATTGGCCTGAACACTGATGGAGGTCAGTTACGTAAAATGTATATTTAAACTTCACACATTTGGGCGGTCAGCAAAAGGATAAACAAATGGACATGATGTCTCCATACTCAGGGTTTGTTTATGAAGTAAATGAAAATTTAATCTTAAAGTGACATTTCCACACAAGATAGAATGTTCACAACACTGCTGTAATAGAGAAAGTGACACCATAAGGACAACACCACCACAGGATTTCAATGACACTGTTGTGATAGACATTTTACATTTATTTTGCTTAGTCAAATACATTTTCCGTGAGATTTGTTTTCTTGTATAAACTATATTACAGTCTA